ATAACCCTTCATCTGGAAATCTTCGTGGCAAATGGGTCCAGGATTACAGAGTTTTAGAAAAGAAATACGAAGGATATACCATATCCTAGGTGAATATTGGGTCACTGTCAATATTTTGCAGTAGAATATAGATAGATAGATAGATAGATAGATAGATAGATAGATAGATAGATAGATAGATAGATAGATATAGATATAGATAGATATAGATATAGATATAGATAGATAGAGAGATATACACTACAAAGTAGAATAAACTGAGATTATTAAAAAATAATCATACCCACTCATGTCAGCATTTGCTGCCTATTCATTTCTAAAGAGTAGACCCTTTTGATTTTAGAATTTCAAACAAGGAATGGCGGACCTATGACAAGTTGGTGGGTTTTTTGTTTGGGAGGTATTATTGTTTTTTCTATGATTTACCACGTACAGGGAAGTCCAGTGAAACCTCCAAAGTTCTAACATCAGCAGAATTTCAGGGACGTGGGACCACCACGCCATTTTACCAACAGAGAAATTGTAGGGCTGAGTTCCAGCGATCTGGGGAGGTCGTGACAGAGCTCTGGGTTAGACATCTGACTTTTGACATCAGACAGACTGAAGTTGAACTGAACTGTAGCTCAGTTTGTCCCCTGGGCCTCTGTTATGTGTTCTGTTTAGAGACGTCCCTCACACAGGACTGTCATGGACATCCGATCAGCAAAAGCCAGTGAAGCTCTTGGCACAGTGAGTCACACACGCCGCATGCTCCTTAAATGCCCAGGTCCTATCCTCGGGGAGATGCTGAGGACAGTCCTTGACTTAATCCAATGAACTTCAGTCAATGCCTGCTATATCCCTTCCTGCAAGGTGCTGAACTCAGGTTCAGGGCTGAGCAGGACAGAACTACCCGCCTTCCCCTGCAGGCATTTTGAGAGACGTCTCCACCATGTAACTTGTACTTAGCATGGTCTCTGATGGCTGGTTGTTTCTATGTGCAGTTTGGCCAAATCGGATTAAACTCAAGGTGCACACACTCTAACAGGGGATAGGGTGATGAGCACAATGAAGAATGTGAGGGACCAGCAGTTAGCATAATGGCTATGTCGCTGGACTCCCACGTAGTCAACCACGTAGTCGAGTCTCGGACCCGGTGGCTTAAACTCACGCCGGGTGCGTGCCCAAGATCCCGAGAGGAGAATGGAGGAGAAGGGATTGTGGCGTGACCATCCCCCCTGGGGGGTGATTTCCTGCTTTCTTTCTCTCTGTCTCTCTCTGTCTGTCTGGCAAGCACACGCGCCCTGTAGCAAAAGCCTCTCCAAAAAAAAGAATGTGAGAAGTGCCCTAAGAGCTGTGGAAACAGCAGAAAGATTTCTTCAGGCTTGGGATAGAGGAGGACTTTGAAGAGGAAGCATTTGAGCTGGGCCTGAACAAGATGACGGGCCTTCGGCTGGGGCTTGAGTCATGCCAGGCCCAGAGGAAGTCAGGGGTCCTCCCAGGGCAGAGAGTAGCCTGCAGTGCTACAGAGATGACCAATTCAGAGAACCGAAGGCACACAAAGGAGCAGGCTGTGTCGTGAGACTTAGGAGGACTGAACGCTTCTTAAATTAGGTTTTGTTTTTAGCAGGAGATCCAAACCTATACGACTTGGCAAAGCTTTAGGAAAATTGCTGTGGTGGCATTTTAGAGGAAGAGTTGAAAGAGAGAGAGAGAGGGAAAGTTGGTAGGACCCATCACGGATCCCTCAGAAAGTTCCTGGTGAAAATGATGAACCCTGAAAGTAGGACAGAGAAGGGAGAAAGGCGAGGAGGAGGGGAGAAGTTAAAAAGGCATAAGTAAAATGAACCATATTTGGCAACCACGTAGATCTGAGAAACAAAAAAACAGAGGATTCAAGGAATAATTTTAGTTCTTAGACTCTGGGCTATGGTACGGCTGGAAGGAAGGCGGGGCAGATGTTGGCTTAGGAAGATGGAAACATCTGAGTTCACTTTTAAACTGAAAAGATTTTCCGGTTTAAAACTGGACTCTCTTTTTTTTTTTCGGTTACTATTGGTTTTTTGTTTTGTTTTATTTTGTTTTCTGCTATATATAGGACACCCCAAAGTGAGAAATCACCCCTTGGGGGATGGCCAAAGATAATCCCTTCCCCTTCACTCTCCTCTCAGGATTTTGAGTGTGCATGCACATGCATCCAGTGTGAGTTTCAAGCTGCCAGGTCCAGAACTCAAACCACATTTGGCCCTGTGGGAATCCAGTGCCTGAACTACCATGCAGGCCCATAGCTTACCTCCTACTTAAAGTAAAAAAATAGAACTGGGCCATGATGTCAACAAAAGTAGGCCTTGAACCAACAGTAATGGTCATGGACTAACGCCATTAGAAGAGGCAACAGACCTGCTGGTCTCAGGTTGCTCCCACTCGGGGAGGGTTACTCAGGGCTGCTGCTACGTGGGAGTCCACGTGTTGCAAACCCCTTCCTGACACAGAGATTACCCCACCTAGATTAGTGCTGCAAGTACACAGCCCATGTTATTCTGGGTTGTTCTATGTAGGGAATCGTATCACGTACTTAAAATAAAACCCTTGTACTAGTGGAGATTCTTGGGGGATACGTACGGTGAGGCAAGCAGGTAGCTGCATCCTCAGGTCATACAAATACCCACCCTGCACTTAAGAAAGAGCTCCTCCTTGGGGCCAGCAGGTGGCATGGTGGTTAAGGTGTTAGACTCCCACATGGTCAACCATGGTTCAAGTCCTGGACCTGGCAGCTTGAAACTCATGCTTGATGCCTGTGTATGCATGCCCAAAATCCTGAGAAGAGGATGGAAGATGAAGTATTACAGTGTGGTCATCCACAATTCCCCGCCCCCGCCCCACCCTTGCAGGGGGGAGGGGTCCTCACTTTCTCTCTCTCTGTCTCTCCAGTGAGCAAACACACCCTATAGCAAAAAATTCTCTCTTATAAAAAAGAAAGAGGGTCCAGCAGTTGGCGTAATGGCTACGTCACTGGACTCCCATGTAGTTGACCGTGGTTTGAGTCCTGGACCTGGTGGCTTAAACTCACACCAGGCGCATGTGCGTGCGTACCCAAGATCTTGAGAGGAGAATGGAGAAGGGATTGTGGCATGGCCATCCCCCCTGGAGGGTGATTTCTCACTTTCTGTCTCTCTATCTCTCTCTGTCTTTCTGGTGAGCACACGTACCCTATAGCAAAAATCACTCAAAAAGAAAGGGAAGGGAAGGGAAGGAAGAAAGTAGAGAACCTTCTTAAATTTGTACCCTAGACACCTTCCTTACCTCCCTGTCCCTGGCCTGATGAGCAGTACGAATTCTTTTCCAGGACGAAGTGTTACAGTGATAAGGAGTTATTGAGAAGCCATTGGTTGTAGTAGAAGGGTTAGCAAACATTTCTGCCCAGGACCAGAAAGCATCTTGGGCTTCAGAATCTGTTGTCTCTGCCTCTACTCATTCCACAGTGTGACAGCAGCCGTAGGTGACATGAAATGAATGGGCATGGCTGTGGGTCATAAACTTTATCTACACATTAGCTGCAGCCAGATGTGATCCTCAGGTTAGAGTTTCCCAGCCCCGTTCTGTGAAGAAACTAGTCAGCTCTTAGGTTTAAAGTCCAGGTCTACGGTCAGCCCCATGGTCTCAGAGTTAAGGATGCTGGATCCCCAATGGCTGACTGTGCAGTTTGACTCCCAGACCCAGATGCTTGAAAAACACTGTGCATGTGTGTATGTGTGCGCACGTATGTGTGTGTGTGTGCATGCACTAGCGCCCTTACTTAACATGATGGAAAAATGGAGGCGAACCACACCCCACTAGGGTTGCTTTTTCCCTCCCTTTTCTCACTCTCTCTGTTTCTCTCTGGAAAATGCATGTGCTCTCTGGCAAATTAAAATCTAATCATAATAAATAAATCAATGTCAAACCAATCATTTAACAAATCCATGGATTTCAACACACACACCTTTGTGAAATATCATTAATTTTTTTTCTACTGATTATGAGGATTTGAGAAAATTTGAGCAAAATTCTTCATAAATAACAGGCATTCAATAGGACAGTGAGTGGTAAAATGATTACAAGGCATAAAAATAATAATAGCAGAACCAGCAGATGGCATAATGGTTACGTTGCTGGACTCCCACGTAGTCAACCACACTTGAGTCACGGCCCTGGTGGCTTAAACTCATGCTGGGTGCATGTGTTTGCATACTCAAGATCCCAAAAGGAGAATGGAGGAGAAGAGATTGCAGCATAGCCAACCCCTCTGGGGGATGATTTCTTGCTTTCTCTCTCTGTCTTTTCAGCAAGTGCACACATTCTATAGCAAAAACCTCTCTTTAAATATTTTTTAAATAGTAGCTAACAGTTATTGAGTACTTATATTTTGACTACTATGTTAAGCCCTTTACAGAGAAAATTTCATTTAATCTTCAAGTATTCTCTGAAGTAGGAACTATTATAGCATTTCTTGCTACTCGTGGGGAAACTGAGGCACCAAAGAGGGGCTTATGCAGAGATTAAGTGATACAGCTGGTACTTAATCTCAAGTAAGTGTTCCAGGGCCTGGGTACCAATGCCTATGCTACTTACTTACCTCCACTAAATTAGGTCCAGTTGAAATTCTCAGTATACCTGGTTTTCAGGGCTTTTTATAACACATGATAGGGTTACACAACTGCAAGTAGTTTGATACAACAACTTGTGGACATTCGCCTTCAGGCGAACACTCAAATACTAGTTGATACAAATAAAACACTTATTCCAACCTCCTTCCTGCCCATCTACCCTTACCCCCAACAAAGAGCTCAACAGTCAAGGAAAACCAGAATATTACTGAGAAAGCTCATGCGAATCCATTTCAAAAAATGTATCCTATAATCACTCTAAAAACTTGCCATTTCTAAGCTACACTGCAGAATAGCATACTGGATTAATTATGCCAGACTGCAGCAATAACCTTGAATTAAAGCTGCAACCTTCTATTTTTAAGAAACACTTGCCTTTCTGGTTGATGAAACCTGTCGTCCCATCAGGTAACAGACGTGACCAGGAAAGAGAGAAGCGGTAATGAGTCAATCCAAGCTGTTTGATACATTTCAAATCTTCCTCCCACAGTGTGTAGCTGCCACAAGCTACATCGCCAGTCTGGTTCTTGAAAACTCTCTCTCCTCCCTGATGGGTGAATGTGTCCCAGACACAAGGGCCTTTTCCATCTGCATCCCAGCCTCCTGAGAGAAAGAAGAAAATGAAACAGTTACACTCTTGACATCAAGAGGCATATGTGGAATGCAAATATTTGTCACCAAAAGAACATACCTCATTAACTCAATGTACCATATTTATAACTTCAAAATATGCCTTTAAAATAGCATGCATGAGTGGGTTCTGTGTTTAGACGTCCTTGATCCCTGAAGCTGACTGGTGGAAAATGAAAAATTATTGCATATTGCTGCGGCATAGCAGGTTTTCATGGTTCATTATCTGAAGATGTCCCAGCTGGTAAACAGAGGCAGGCCCCAGCTCCTGAATGTCTCCTGCTTAGGAAAATAGTTTGCTGCAACAGCATTTAGAACTCCAGCTTCCCCCTGGCCATCACCAACATGCTCTGTCCTTGTGTGTGAAGGGACGTGGGGACCTTATTCCTTGAACCTCTATCACTGACATGATGTGAGTGTCTCGGATTTCATTCATTCCTATACTGCACTGATGAATGCAATGTCTCAGGCACAATGATAAACACGGAGGACACCAGAGTGAGCCACAGGGTGTGGCATCTCCTTGGAGAGCTCAGCGAACAGGCAGCTGCAAAAGAGCCAACTTAAAGGCCCTCGCTGCATAGAAACCGGGGAAGGGAATTTACCCGAATGCAGGCTGGAGTCGGAGGACATCTCTTTCTCCTCATTTTTTCTGTAAACCTAAGAGTGGTCTAAAAGATAAAGTCTACAAACCTTTCAAAAATAATGTATACTTGGGACCAGCAGTTAGCGTAATGGCTATGTCGCTGGACTCCCACGTAGTCGACAACGGTTTGAGTCCCGGACTCGGTGGCTTAAAACTCACGCCAGGCATGTGTGCGTGTGCACCCAAGATCCCGAGAGGAGAATGGAGGAGAAGGGATTGCAGCGTGACCATCCCCTCTGGGGGGTGATTTCTCGCTTTCTGTCTCTCTGTCTCTGTCTGTCTGGAGAGCGCACACGCCCTATAGCAAAAACCTCTCCGAAAAAAGAAAAAATAAATAATAATAATGTGTACAGTATGTATACGCTTGCATATTTCAAAATATGTCAAACAATCCATGCATTTACTGAACACATACATCTCAGGAAAGAGTATAAACAACACGTTTGAGAATGACAAGTTCAGATCAGTGTGTAACGTTGGGAAGAAAAGGGGGAGGAATGAAGCCAAGGCAAAGTATAAGGTGCTTCAGAGGCCCGTAGGTAGCATGGTGGTTGAGGCATTGGATTGCCATAGGGCCGCCTGCAGTTCAAGTTCTGGACCTGGCAGCTTGCTTTCTCCCTTTCTTTCTTTCTCTCTGGTGGACACACATGACCTATAGCATGTTGATCCAAATAATTATCATAATTTTCTAAATTACTCTTTAAAACAATTATAAGGGGGCTTCCATTGCTTCTCTTATGCTTTTTATTCCTTAAATTAGGTAGGATATGAGGGGCTATTTATTACATTATCCGCAATCCTTTTTGTATGCCTAGACATTTTATCATAATTGTTTTATTAAAAAGAGGTAAGAGCTGCAGTGCAGTAGACGAATCCAGGGACGGGAAGGGCTCTCAGGCCCTCAGTGAGCATTGCATCCTCTTTTTATGTGGACCGTTCTAGCAGGACTCGGGGAAGAGGCAGCCTGGGCAATATGGAGTGAGGGAGGGGATCCCAGGAGACCGACAGGCTGCTGAGAGGAGGAGCTCTCACAAAAGCAAAAATGACTACTGGAATCAAGGTAGGATATTAAATACCTGGACACAAAAGGTCATGAATACTAACAAGTATGACATTCTGGGGCCATGTAATTAGAGAGGCAGTCTGTCCCATTCCAATGGCTCTCAACCTATGTCTCCAAATGCGGTTTAGAGGAATAGGGGCTAGAAAAAATGCGGGTATTCGAACTTAGAATGAAATCAATGCGAACTATAAAATACAGCTTTTTCAGTTACGATCTTATGGTTCTGAATAGCTGATTTAATAAATGAAGAGGCTTAATTTTAGAGAGTTTAGGCAACGGCGTGCTAATAAATATTTACCTGACTAATGTAAAAAAGGGGGGAGACATATATGTTTATTATAATTTTTTACAGATATGAAGTATGTATAACACAGTTTATAACTAATAAATTATATAATACCCTTTACTGTAAGTTGATCCTCATAGAAGGCTCTTTATTTTTGCCAAACTCTTAACTCGGTATCCAACCTATGACAAATGTGAGTGGTTCTCCTATGACTGTCAGTTGATACATTTTGTTTAAATGAACTGGCAAAATGAGAAAAACAACAACAAAGATGTGCCAGATCTTTACTTGTTCACCAATAGCATAAGCTACTTCTTTGCTGAATGGAATAGCAGTTTGTAAAAACTGGAGAATATTCCAGCAGTTTTTCATGTGACAGTATAACAACTACAGAAATGACATTCCTTTAGGTTTAATCTCCATTATTAACAGTTTCTCTCACTTTCTTAAATCTAGACCATCAACAAAACTCTAAACCAAATACTGACTTGTAGCACTTGCCAATTCCTGTGGTGTAAATATCTCCACTATCGCTAATTTCAAGTAACTAATGTGACAGTCACTGAAAGCTGTATTCATTTACTATGAGGATTCCACCTACACAGACACAAAAAAATCTAAATAATTTCAAGGGCATAGATAATAATAAAACTTAGTAAAACAATTAGAAAGTAATTATTGTATTTATTGACTTTTAAAATATAAATTATTTACTTGTAATTTTATATCATTTAATTTTTTAATTTATTTGATATACATTCAATCACAATACATCACAGTTTGTAAAACGAATTATCTCAGCATGAATACACTGCACACCAGTCCATTAAAGACAGTATCATGCACAATATCATTGATAGACAATCCTCCATTTCTGTGACCCATAGAAATGCTTTTCTATTTTTCTCCTGATTCCCTTCCCCTCAGCCCCCCATCCACCTCCCACCTTCCTTTCACACTGGGTCCAGCAGATGGCATAGTGATTACACTGCAGCTCCCACATCACATGATCAACAGCAGTTTGAGTCCCGGGCCTGGTAGCTTAAAACTCACACCTGGTATGTGTACATAAGTGCTCAAAATCCTGAGAGAACGGAAGAGAAGGGAGTGCAGTGGCTCAAAATCCTGAGAGAAGGGAAGAGAAGGGAGTGCAGTGTGGTCAACCTCCCAGGGGCTGATTTCTCACTGTATTTCTGTCTCTCCAGTAAGCACATGCCTCCCATGGCAAAAGGAAAAAAGAAAAGGAAAATTAAAAAAAAAAAAAAAACTCTCTCCTAAGTTAAAGTTGAGTAATGTTCATGTTTAAGAATCAACTCACAAAATTGAAAAAATACAAACAAACAAACAAACAACTTAACAGAAGGCCCCCATGCACCAGCACCGGCTGGCTTCACACATCGCGGATAAATAATTTGCCTAAGATCACACAGTGAGGAAGTACAGCGCCGGGATTTATATCCACGTCTCTCAGACGGTGAAGTCCAATCCCTTCCACTGGACCAGGCTACTCTTAGTAATAAAAACTGAGTGATGAAAGTACTACTCAAGTTATGAAGGCTAAGAAGTCCAAAACAGCAGATTACCCATTTTAGAAAGCAGTCCGTCTACAACGGCTAAAACAAGTTTTGACAAATTTAAGAGGTGTGAATTAGCAGGAAGATGTAGCTGTTCAGAGCAGCTTGTTTTCCTCACATACGAGCTTGAGTTTGAGAAGAGACGCACCCAGAGGAATAGCAGTAACAGGAATCCCAGATTCACATAGGGTTAGTGCCTGTTCCTGTCAGCCAGAGGAAAATCCTCTTAACTCACGGGGAACTGCCTGAGCTAATTAGAAGGTTGTGCTTGTGTAGTGGGGAACAACAGCCTTAAGACCTGGTTCTGCCAAACACATTTTAAAAGCAAAACCAAAAGCCTGGCACTGTTTCTAAGTACCTTAACTGAATTCCAAAACAAAGCTCAACAATAGTTACAGGGACACAAAAGCGCCCCTACCCAAAAAGTCAAACTAACAATTTCAGGCCAGCCAGATGGCATGGTAGTTAAGGTGACTGGCTTCCACATGGCCGACTGAGAGTTTCGAGTTCCAGATCCGGCGTCTCAAAAAACATGTGCAAGCATGCATGACCAAAAATCCCAAGAGGACAGTGGAAAAGGGAATGTGGCATGGCCATCCCCTCTGAAGGGTGCTTTCTCACTCTGTCCCTGTCTCTCTGGTGAGCTCACATGTCCCATAGCAAAAACTAAAAGCAAAACTAACAATATTGGGGCTCTAATATGAAACCACCAGGCATTAAAAGAAGTAGGAAAATATGACACATAAAATCTAATATCAAAATAGGTCCCAAAAGGACCCAGGTATTAGAATTAGCAAATGACTAGCAAATGATGATTTTAGTACACTATTACATCTGTGTTCTGTATATTCAAGACGCTAAAGAAAATATGAAATATTTTACGTAGAGACATGGAAGATATTTTAAAAGACCTCAATTAAACTTCAAAAGAAAAACTATAATGCCTGAAATGGATATGATTAATAGCAGATTAAACATTGCAGAAGACTAGTGTACTAAGACAAAGCAATAAAAACTCTCCAAAAGGGAAAGAAGAAAAAAAACTCAAAATATAAACAGAGAATCATGAGCTCTGGGATAATTTCAATTAGCGTAGTACAAAGGAACTTCAGACAGTTCATGGAAAAATGGAATTAAAGTACAAGTTTACTTTGATGCAAATTGTTTCTGAAATCCATGCATACTTTTTTCATATATTCATTTTTCCAAAAAATTTTGAAGATCCCTTACAGACACATTAAAAACAATCCAAAAGAAAAAGGAAAGAAAGGGACATTAAAAATATTTGAATGGCAGAAATTTTTTACACATAATAAAAACTATAAACTGGGGTAGCAGGTAGCATGTGGTCAAGGCTCTAGACCCCCACACGGCCACCCACAGTTCAAGTCCCAGACCCAGCAG